CCCGGACAGCATCGCCATTGACATTGCACTAATAATGCACTTCCAATTAACGCGCACCCCCTTGGCCGTATGTTCTAATTATTCATTTTTGAATAATGAATATGTGCCATTAAACTATAAATACGCATCATTAGTCTAAGAGCATAGATTTAATACACAGACCTGTGTATTAAAACACAGTAATACACAATTAATACACAAAAATTTAATACACAGGTCGGTGTATTAAATCTATGCTAAGAGTGACTCAGTAGTCTAGTGGATAATGCCTGAAGTTCCAGAAGTCAAAAGTATGAGGTTACGGGTTCAAATCCCGGTTTGGGCTAAAGTTTTTGTAATTTTTAATATATTTTTTCGAGACCCAAATACCATTTTAGCAAATAGACGCCCAGGCTTTTATTTAAGGAAATACGGTAATAGAAAAGATGTGTTCATTACAATAACAACATTACATTCATGTACATGTAACTACATGTTGCTATGCTGCAGGCTCATAATGATACCATTCATAAACAAACACTGGAGGATACTACTACACATTGAGACTATTAACAAGTACTTAAAGTGTCCAGTGGTACATACTGCAGTACATACTGATGAGTCCATAGTTACCTCAATGTTACTCCTCTTAGCAGGACTATTAATACCAGGACTGGTACATACTAATGTACAGTCCAACTTCCTCTTACAAGTAATCCTATTCACTGATGAACCTATCACATTATTTAACTCTTGAAACTCCTAGAGGAAGGGAAAGAGAGGGGGAGGGAGAGAGAGATTAAAAGCAGTAATTATACAAACACTTTAATAACTAACTGATGCTGGACTTTTACTGACTACAAAAGTTTTAGCAAGTGGAGATAAAGCAGATTGACTATCTGGAGAGAAGAGAAAAGAACAACAACAACAACGATAATAATGATAACAATAATAATAATAATAATAATAATAATAATAATAATAATAATAATAAAGATAATACAGTGTAGTATCCAATCACCTTTAAGAGGTGATATGAATATTTGATGTCCTTTTGCCAGTTTCCGTGGTGACATAGCCGCTCTCTTTATAACAGGAAGAGGAGACAGTAACAATTCATTAGACTATAGAATAAATAATAATTAATTATTCATGAACTCATTAATTATTCATTGACTAAGACCACACCCACCTCATCCGAGAACTTTAATACGAAATCTTTAAGTTGGTCGATAAATACTTTATTATAAAATTGAATGATATCACCACGAGACTCCGCCCGAGGGACTTTCCCTTCATCAGTCTCTCCTTCATCCTCAGAACAGGAAGTGGGCAGGGCCAAATCCGTCATATCGTCTTGAGTATGAGATGATTTAGAACCTTTTAGTATCAACACACTCCGATATATCTACAAGTAATAATGGAGGAAACAGGAAGAGAAGAAGAGGTTTATGTGGTACTACGAGTTAAAGTTTGACAGCTGCTAATGTACATGTACATGTACAGTGAGTCTTGTCTATTCCGGACACCTTGGGACCCAATAATACCCTAGCTCCTGATTATGAACCTGTCCTTATTTCAGAGGTTCATTAATACACATTACTATTGTATTGGGACTGATACTACCCCTCCTCATTATAGAG